AATTAATAAAACCGTTAAAAACCATTTAGGAAACTTAAGTTCCTCGTACTATTAAGAATACGTTTCTAGTTTACGTACAGCTTAAGAGTACGTTTATAACATAGAGTCTAATGTGGAGGCCCAACTACTCATGGTTCCTGGGGCTGACCATTTCTTTATCAGGTGCTGGGTCCTCTGAGAACAGAATGCCGTCTCTCTGCCATTATATTCTGTCCCACTCGCGTACGCGGGCTATCTCTGCTATGTAGGCTGCACCAGCTAACTGAAACCGATTCCACGACTTGGTGAACACTTGCGGTGATCATGTTCTCATATCCTTCCTCGGCGTACATGATTATTGTGAAATTGGAGGTGAAACTTGTACGTTAGTTCAGGATTCGAAATATACGTTTTAATCTCTGATGGAAGAGATTCTGGAAGATCTTTGTGAAGGTGTTTTTATATAGCCATCCTAGGATCTATGACCGAGGAAGGGCATGCTATCTTTCTGGTGATGGTACTGCGCAGACTGAAAGAACAAAATTTTGAAATTCGTCTGGGACAGAAGTGCAAATTCATGAAGACGAAGGTAGAGTTCCTCGAGTGAGACCACACAAAATCTGCGGACAATGTTGATACACGAGACGAAAGAGAAAGCTACGTAGTCTGTATGTCACAGCTATACTGCCGTTGACAAAGATACTTATCGGTAGCTTCACCACAAGTGCATGGTGTATTAATAATACGCACAGACGCTAGTAGGATGTGTTACTAGTACCGAAGATGTAGTTTGTACCGGTATCCTTTGCATTGACATGGACACGATGTAACTCAGCGTAGCACCTCTATTTAATCACAGAGTTGAAGGCATTCTCTGTCGTCTAGGCTTTTGATTGATGGTTGATTGTGCTCAATAGATCACCTGATCAGATCTATGTAGAAACCGATAATTTGCCGTTGTTGGGACTTTATAATAATATTTATTTCAAAAAGTCAAGTTACAATGTATGTACATATAGTATAGTACATATGGTATGGCTCTCATAGCCGTTGTAGCGGTTCGGAAAAGATCGATGGAAAAAGTGGTCAGTAAATTCCCGTTTGAAGCTTGGGCTAAGTGTATGAGTCGACGATGGATGATATACATTGGGTCAATTCAAGCCGATGCTGACAACAAGACTGACACCGTCGAGTGTGCTACGTATTCGCTTGCTGACCTACTAAGTAGCGTATCCACCTCTGTGTTACAGATCATCGTGTAGTGTCGTGGAAGCGATTGGGTGATAATGATACTACAGTGCGAGGATGACGAATTCGTCGTTGGTTCCTGTAGTTGCAGAACTCCAATTTTACAGATTTATATGTCAATAGTAAGAAGATGGGTGACGCTGATACGTTATCCAGACTCGCCGGGACTGATGACGAGGAAGCTGCTGTGGTGATGACGTTTCTAGGCGACGATGATGAACCAACCCCAGACAAGCTGCTACTAGGGCTACACCAGGGTCTTGCTCACGTTGGTTACAAGAGATTGGTTTATTTTTACCGAAAGGTCACCAATGAAGAAGTGAAAGAGCAAGAATGCCGCAGTGTGATCTAGGATTGCAGACCATGTGTACTTATGTGACGCGACATGGCTCGTGGATTACCTGCTACTGTAGAAGAAGCCCGGTACTTCATGCAGCGAATTCACGTGGGTGTATTCTATATCTCGCGCAATCAAGAACAGGGCACTCGAATGATCGTGCTAGCTCAAGAGTGGCTGTGCCCGCTGTGGCAGTCACAGACTCATAGGGGCTTCCCTTTATAATTTTGCATGGAGGATCTACGGCATTTTGGCATGGAAGCGACGGTCCGGTCTGGGTTTTCTATCGGGATTTAAAAGGTTTTTTAAACTTGAAAAATACCAACAACAATGGGTATATATTTGTTTTGTTTGTTTTGTTGTGTTTTCTTTAAAAAAAAAATGAACCTCGTTCTCATCATCTCCTGTATTTAAATAAACAATGTTTTTATTTATCTAATTAATTGTGTTGTGTCTCAGACTCTCACATGAAGGCTGTGATTGTTCGTACCCTTTTTTCAACAACAACTGTATATATATATATAAAATCAGCCATAGCAACAACAGATATACGCGCACAGTCACACATAATGAGCTATTTAGTATTCGGATCGACTGGCTACATCGGGTCCAGACTCGTAGCCCTATTGAAAGATGATGGAAAATCTGTACACTGTGCCAAATCTCGCATTGAGAATTATGTCGACACCGCGAATGAATTAGATGAAATCAAACCTGCATATGTACTGCACGCCGCCGGCCTCACTGGTCGACCTAATATTGACTGGTGTGAGGTAAATAAAATCCAGACTGTGCAAGTCAACGTGATTGCGAGTCAGAACCTTGCGGATATGTGCTACCAGAGAGGCATCCACATGACGAACTACGCAACTGGCTGCATCTACGACTACGTAGAGGGTACGGAGCACGCATGCGGCGGAAACCCCTTTACGGAAGAGGACGAGCCTAATTACAAGGGATCCTTCTACTCGGAGACCAAGATTTACGCCGAGAAAATCATCTCTCAATTCCCGAATGTCTTGACACTACGCGTCCGGATGCCTATCTCAGCTGATTTGCATCCCAGAAGTTTTGTGACGAAGTATGTTCCTGGGTGTTGTGGTATCGCGTGTCTAGTATAATAAGCGCTGTCTGTGTGTTGGCCGGAATTTTTTGATCCGACACGTTACATATATGTGTACTTCCTAATTACTCCGTTACCCAAGCTGTGTGATCAGTCCTGTTAGTCAACCTATCCTTGTCCACTTTAAATATCGCCGGGTACTGACTGTTGACTATTTGGACTGGAACCTTTTCGAGAATCACCGGAAAATTTACAAATTGCTATTTGCTCCTGTTTTGATAACTTGGAGACGCGTTCGTATGTACTCGGATTTGTGTACTCAATTGTAAAGAATCGGTTGTATTTTCTTGCTTCTGTACGTAGAGAATGGGAATAATTTGATTTAGATTGTGTCCGTGTGGGGCCTGGTTGTCTGTACGCCTCAAAGAGTAACCGCATATTCATGTTTCATATATAGGCAGAATGTCTATGTAGCTGGTGTATTTATGCAGTATGTCCTTGTGGAGATTGCAAAGAAAGAGCATGAACCTGTCAAGTTTATCGAGTACGAAGTAGATTAATTGTGGCCTGCAATGGTCACTGTCTGAAAGCATCACGCTTAAGTCCAGACTAAGAGTGGCGTAAAAACAGTCCTCGCATATGGAATGATACAGTCGTTCGAGCCCGCGCATATAGGCAATTTGGCTTCAGCTTGTGTTCAGCCATATTCCACGGCATACACTCACCGACTATGGGCGTTTACTTCGCGATGCGCATGTTCGTGCAGCTTGTTTCTGTTTCTAGACCACACTATTGTCAAATTATCTTGTGCCCATCGCTTGATCTTCAGGGATGCATTTTAGACAGATATATAAAAGTACACGCATTACGCTGCCGCTATCCAACGTGATTGGATTCCCAGATGAACATACAATCGAAATATCAGCGAGCGTTTGATATGTTCGATTTGATTACTTTCCAAAAAAGATATGTTTCTTGGCACGCTTATACTTCATTACCTGGCCCATACTCACCATCGTACATTTTTCGTTTCCGCATTAAGGATTGCCCAATACGAGAAGTTGATCAACTATCCCAACTCTGTCAGCGTACTAACCGAGCTGTTGCCCATTTCCCTGGACATGACCTCGAAGAAGCTTACTGGTTTGTACAATTTTACCAACCCGGGTACCGTTTCCCACAACGAAGTGATGGATTTGTACCGCGAATTTATCGATCCCACCAAGGTCACCACTAATTTCAGCATTGAAGAACAAGCTAAAGTGATCAAATCAGGTCGCTGCAATAACCATCTAGATGTGAGTAAGCTACAGAAACTGTATCCCGAAATTCCAGAAGTGCATGTGGCACTAAGGCGTGCATTCGAGAAGATGTCCAACGATGGGTTGGCTGTAAAGCGAGAGGAGTAAATATAACCCAGCCGCTTGCTTGTGGGCAAATCAGTCAGTCACATGGTTACAGTTTTATTTCGTCGCAGATAAGTGAGCAATTGCATTTTTGCATCGCAGATAAAAAAGCAATTGCATTATTGCATCGCAGATAAATGATGCACGAAAATATTTTGCTTTCGTATCATGGTCAGTTTTATTAGTAGTATAAAAAAACAGACGCAGCAGGTCGCAACACCGCGAGCATACTGCACCACAGCACCCCGCACCATACCGTTGCTTTGAACAAGGTAAAACAAAATTGCCGTCAATCGTATCAGCTTTTCAACCTGCATAGTCGGAAAGTATATCATCAAATGTGTGAATATATACGACTATGTAGCAGTGCTATAGTCATACACGCCATGAATAAATTGGTGTCTATCATTTTATTAGCAAAAGATTTCTCTGGTATACTAGGCAAAGTACACCTTTGAGTAAGTTATACTTGTTTCTTAAATACGTTCAAACTAAACCCTTGTGTTTACACTATGAGGATGATCCGAGAATGAAATATATGTGGCTCCTTTAATCCCACTATTTGGGTACACCGAATTACTCTAGTTGAAGATATGCGCACTTCCAACCTCGGCCACACATAGTTCTCTCATATTCGATTTCATACACAACTACTAGTAAATATAAAATATTCGTAGACTGTCGAGTGTGCAGTGAGTGCACAACTGCACACTGTGCACAGTGCGCACAATTTATTTATTTTGCCTTTTTGTTTTACATATTGTTTTAATATATATATATATATATATATATATATATATATATATATATATATATATATTATATATATATATATATATATATATATATATATATATATATATATATATATATATATATATATATATATATATATATATATATATATATATATATATATATATAT